TGAGGGAGCACCGTAGTATTGTTTTGAAAAACGATTCCTCAGAACACGTAGAAGAAAGAATTCACTGCATGATATTCACACATCTTTGTCGAAACGGTTTGTCACTAAGATGTATTCTTCTGTGATTCATGTGCAAAAATCAGGTGAACTGAACATCATTCAATGAAATAGAAAAAATTAATCTGTCGTCATTTTTCATATTTCTATTCAAAAGCGTGAAAAATTTGCAGTAAGGTATTTCTCTGTGTTGCTTTTTATGTTAGTCACATAGATTCAATATTCAAGAACAAACTATATTTTTTCATAAATTCCCTTCTAAATAACGAAAACTACGGTTTGAGTTCAATACACTCTAGCGTACAATTATTTTCAGAGCGTCTTCTATTACGAAACGTTGCCCGGTATAAATTTATGAACATAATGTGAGTTGAATATTGCTGCCACAGTTTGTAAATACAATATAAAGTTGATTCATACTTTGAAGTAGTGTTGACTTTTTGTTTTTGTCATCAACTTCATATAAAAATAGTTTGAAAAGGATTTTGGAGAAAAAAACCTTGTGAACTAGTACGATAAAAAGTGAATAATCAATAAAAAATACGGAGTATATTCAAGAGAGACAATATTGTTGAAGAAGTCGTACTGTTTTTTTCGAATTTTCAATTTCCGAAAAGAGAATATTTCAGTGAACTTGTAGAATTCTTAAAAAAGATTGTACTTAATTATGATAACGAAAAACTGCTAAGATGAAATTAAGTAAATTTTATGCTGGCATATGAATGCTTCTCTCTCCTCTCAATTTTGATGTTTTTGTTATGAAAATTCGCAGTGGTAGCACTCATAAAATACAATTAGTGAGTTTTCCTGTTTGAAGCTCATGGACGCCCAGATTAGCATTGTGTTCGCCGTATCCTTTAAGAGTACCATTTATTCTGAAACTCTTCGTTAGTCAAGCCTGACCGAACGAATACTGTTTTGCAATACTATCAACTTCAGACACAATTCATCCAAATTTTGCCAAATCCAACGGCTTCTCTGTCACGAAAGAAGAATCGAATTACTTCCCTTGGTATAGCTTGCTTCCGTGCATCCTCTTATCGACAACAGACTTCTGTTGAGAACTCTATTTTTCCAGCAAAATTGAAGTAAAATTTCAGTCCGAAGACAAATTTTGTATCTTTGATAACAACTTAATGTCAGAATGTTTAGCTCGTGTAAACGATTCACCTCAGATAGTGGCATCCAACGTTATTTTAGATTTGTTTTTGGTCATATTTCAGAAAAATGTTTACTGTGAAGAGGGCCAAAATAAAAAAAATCATTGACCGAATAGCAGTATAGTTCACAGTCGTAATGGACACCAATATTGACAGATATCGAGATTCTTTGATTATATTATTTGAATGGATAATAAAACTCTAATTGGTTGAAAACCAATGAGATTGATGGACATGAAGAATTATTAAGTGTGTTACTCGAAGTGAATTCAAGACTTTGATTTCGCGAAAGATGAAGATTTAACGACTGCAACGCATATTGGTATACTGAAATGACTACCCATAAGATATTATTTTTATGAAAGAAATGGTTTATGGAATTTTCGAGTACTGGTGTAAATAGGCTTCTGATATGTCCTAGTCAAAAAAGCATTAAAGATTCTTAAAGGAATGCTAAATTTCAGTGATTTTCCGGGATCGTTAGCTTGTCTGATGATTTTTGAGAGTTTTTGATAAGTTTCCAAACGCTCGGAAACCTTTCTCCAGAAACTCTTTAAGGGTTTCATAGAGTGACAAACCAAAAAACCTCCTATAGGTTACCGAGAATACCTATTTTTTTAGAGTGTGTTGATATGTATTTTCCGTTAAAATTTCAATCCAAACCAATGCACTTCTGGTGAGATATGAGTATCACAAAAAAATCAAATAAAACATGGTTTTGTAGGAATAGTACCCTCAGAAATCTTTAAATATCTCGAGAACGAAAAAATATTTTTTTCAAACAGCTTGCGTCAAAGTTTTTGAAACTCTTTCCTGTATAACATATCTTAATCTGCGTAAAATCAAATGCTTCCGGTTGAGCAGCTTCTGTAGAAGTCGTTCATGGCTTATATGGAGTGGCTCTTAACATAGGATCCTAACAGATCCTTTCATGTAGTATGAAACAATGAAAATTAGAAAATACAGAGATGAAAACACCTGGTTTTATGGAAAAGGATAATGTTGAACACTTTTGACAACAGTTTAGCATGTTTTGAAAAGTCTCTTTAAAATAAAATTTTCAAATTTGGTAAGAATTTTATGGTAGAGGGCATGTGATTTCTTCAATAGTGCTGATAATTATCATTCCATTCGTTTGTTCATTTATAGTCATTCCAAGCATTTCATCGGACGCGAGATGGACACAAAATGGTGTGACTGTTGCTGGAGGCCACGGACAAGGCACAGCTAACAATCAACTCCGCTGCCCTTGGGGTTTCTTCCTTGATGATGATGATGATCAAACGATGGTCATTGCTGACACCTATAATGATCGTGTCCTACAATGGAAGACAGTCGATATGAGTGGACAAGTATTAGTTGGTACCCATTGCTACGGGAAAAGATTAAATCAGTTGTATAATCCAACCGATGTGCTGATCGACAAAGAGACGGACAGTCTCATTATCTGCGATTCAGGCAATCGACGAGTTCTACGATGGTCTCATCGTAGTAGCACTACTAAAGGAGAAGTTCTTCTCGACAACATCCGTTGTTGGAGTTTGGCCATGGATGATCAGCGATATCTCTACGTATCCGACGTCGATAAACATGAAGTCAGACGGTATCAGATAGGAGACAAAAATGGAACTATTGTAGCTGGTGGACATGGAAAAGGTAATGGTCTAAATCAACTCAATCGGCCGACTTATATCTTTGTCGATTGCAAACAGGCTGTTTACGTGTCAGACAACGAAAATCATCGTGTGATGAAATGGAATAAAGATGCAACGGAAGGAACTATCGTCGGTGGGGGTCAAGACAAGTGGAATCCTCTGACACGATTGTCATTTCCTAATGGACTGTTCGTCGATGCATGGGATACTCTCTATGTGGCAGACTCGGGGAATGATCGAATAATGCGTTGGCCTAAAGGAGCGGAAGAAGGCACGATAATTCTGGGTGGAAATGGTTGGGGGAGAAGGTCAAATCAACTTCACAATCCCATGAAGTTGTCCTTTGATCGATATGGCCATCTCTACGTCGCCGATCTGGATAATCATCGCATTCAACGTTTTTCTATTGAATAGACTCACCAATGTTGCTGATTTTTCCTCTATCACTTCGAAAACAATTAATAAAAAAAGAAAATGGTTCTTCAAAAAAGATGAATGATTTTCTTATCTATCCTTTTTGAGCATACACAACCAGGGACTGTGCCGAGGGTGCCGCGACGATGCAAAGACCGTAGACATAAAAGACATCCTCATGTGTAGATGACATGTAAATGAGTTCGGACACATTAACCATAATAGTTCCTATCCAACCTTTTGAAGTCTACCCGAATGGTATTCATATAGAAAAGGTCTCTATAATGGATCTCAATGGGAATGGCACATCTGCCTCACTTAAACATGAATACCCTATCCTAATTTTACTCTCGTTGCGTCTATCATCATCAAGCCTTTTTCTCTTAAAAGAAAAGACTAAACAACTCACATGTTTGATAGTTGGGTAGGTAAAACTGATTCCCAGAATGTACAGAAACGATGAAATTCAAAAAATTAATTCGAGAAAAATACAACTTACTTGAAATTTGTATTATTTTGACGTAACTCGATACTATTCCACGGATTTGTTCGGATTTGAACTATATGTAGAATAATGCTGAGTCTCTCTGCGGTTCCTATCTGATTAGCTAATTGAAACAATCAATCAGATTTCAGGGCCGTTTTTCTCGGTTGCATTTCAAGTGAGAAATAGTTTTATGGGTGAAAAATCTTCTTTATGTATACTGTCAGTTGTCTGTCTTCGATGGGATCAAAGGTCGATAGTCGTAAGTCAAAGTGCCGGCAGACGTAAGGTACAGTTGCATGTGTGGCTATTGATAGCTGAGATTGACTGTTGATGTAGACCTAGGATTTTCATTCTACGTGCGGTGCGTGCGGATGAATGACGCTTCGATTGTGTTGGATGTCATGCTGTAACACACCAGACTTACATATAAATCGTTACTCGACACTCCAAAACAATCTTGATGGGCATATCCATGTCAGCTAAGTTACTTTCGTTGAAGTATTGAATGTAAAGGTTCCAATCACTTCTTTGCCTATTTATTCTGGACATCAAAAGGCTGGTTTCTTCTGATTCGAATAACCAGCCCTGTAATATGCAAAGAAATCAACGGGAAAAAAACGGAATCCTGAATTCTTCTGGTTTCCCTGGGATTCTCTAGGATTCCATGGGATTCTTTTGAATTCCTCAAAACTCCTCTAGATTTTCAATAAGCTTCTAAAGCTGTCAAACGACTCCATCTGTATCACCGTCAGGTTTCCATGCCGATAATTTTCTTTCTATTTTCTTTATTCTATTCGTTTGTGGTTATTGACACATGTATATATCGATGACTTATTATTCGTTTGCTGAGTTGTAGTTCATAGGATCACATTATCTCTACTAGAAACGTTGCTACCGAGTCGATCTCCTCATTTATCTATCAATAGATTCAGATCGATTTATCTTATCAGATGTCTAAGTATATAACTGCATCAGTGAAATTCTTTTATTAATAAAAAATTTTTGAGAGTTTTGACATCAATAATCATATAATTGATGTTTCAATATACACAAACGTTCGAATCATTTTTTATTTAATTTTACTTGCTTCCTTCCATAACTCGTGAGAACCTATCGGTTGACAGACGCTCATGTTTGTCAGTCAACAGCCATACTACTGACTGTTTATGTAACAATTTCGTCGTATCATTAATTTTCACTTTGAAATATGAGTTTGCTAAATCACAATTAATTGTATCTTTGATACATGTTCCAAAAAAATATTGTTTTTATACATTGAACACGTTTAACATTTTCTTCATTATCAGGTGCAGCATCCTCATCTTCATCACTACTATTATTATAATCGTTGTCTTCATCATCCTTATTTTCATATTCATAATCATCTGATTCTGAACTCATGTCATCATCAACTTTTCTTGTTTCTGTTAAACTATCAGACACTCTTGACTTCAAATTTAATTCATTAAACATAAGTTTACTTAATTTTTCTAATTTATAAATTTGATGGTGTTTTAATAATGTTGCTATTCCTAAATTTCCAATTAATTCAATTGATGTTTCATGTACGGGTGTAGCTGTGGTTGTGGTTAGTCTATCGATGCACACCCACACCCACACCCACACTCCCATTTACACACCCACGTCCACACCCACACCCACACTCCCACTCCCACACCCACACCCACCCCCACACCCCCACCCCCCCACCCCCACCCCCCCCCCCCCACATTTTTGCAGTGTGTCTGTGAAAATTTTTAATACTGTCTGGCAAAAATGTGTAATATAGTCTGCGAAATTTTATTTTACGGCTGCAGTCGACTGATCACGCGATAATATTGGCGGTGAAAAATTTTTGTTTTGAAACAATTTTTCCGAAGACTTTACTTAGTCCTGGAGGGGGAGCGGGTAGGGGTATCTTCATCGCGTTACTCTCCCCTCCCCCCGGCATCACTTTTAATGAAAAATCGGAAAGTTCCTAAAAAAATAAGTGACTGTCTGCCAAGTTTTTGTGAAGTGTCTGGCAAAAGAAAAAAACTGTAGCCCTCCCCCACTCTCAAAAACAATGGAGAGCCTTGCTCCCACCTACACCTGTTAGAAAAGTCAAAAATGCATTTTGAGCAATGGGAATATCACCTATGTATATACTTTGCTGACTTTACTATGATAGACCATATGCAACAGAAATATTTATTTGTGTCCCAATATTTGGTATAATACTGAGGTTCAATAAAACTTCTCGTGCATAATCATGCGATGAGAGAGTAAATAGCGTAACACTTATTATTATTCGAATATTTAATGTATGTATCGAGTTGATTTGATATTAAAATAAGTATCATGCAGTAAGTGCCATCATGATCGGATCTCCAGGCGTTATGTCAATCACTTTAAATGGAATGTTCGGGAATATGAGTACTTCTTCTTCATTCGGATATTCAGAGAGGGAACTAATGTCCATAGCTATTTCCTGATGGTGAATACAATAAACACACAGAATTGCTTGCATCCCCGGTACTACATTGCTTGCAAAATTTACGGCTACTTGTGAATTTTTCGATGTGGACATAAATGCTTTATTCGTAATCGTCTCGCCGACTTTGTACTGAACGAGGTCATTTTCAGTCATATGCAGACCACGAAAACACATTCCAGTCCACCAATACTTTCTCATATGCCAATTACCTTTAAGTACTGTCGCAAACTTGATGAACCATTTGTTTCTGTCCACTTCGGTGTAACCAAGCTTTGTTTGAGCATGCAAACGATTTAATCGTTTATAGAAATCCGTTTCAGCTGTGTATGCTCGTATAAAATACGTATAGTCTGAAGTTTCGACAGCCATGTTCAAGAAATACTGAATTTGATCCATTCCCGCGGCATCACTAAGTTCTTGTGCATTGCTTATTTCATCAGAAGCCATCTGGATATTCTCGAATTCGACAGGATTATCCCAGTTTCCGAAAGCTGTATAGGCAGAGTGTAGACCTGCTTTGGACCATTCGACTTGAGGGGTTTCGCCAACAAATCGTTGTGTTGCGGCAGTTGTCGGTCGATCGAACAGCTGTTTCATTTCACGTGATTGAGCTTCGTCAACAGGAATTAGATTAAACTTATTCAACAACCGCCTTTGAGCTCCTTTTTCCAAGAGTAATCGAACGACGTCTATGTGTCCATAGTGACATGCAGCATGTAAAGCTGTACTTCCATTTGGTTCAATACGGTTGAGAGCATCCAAAGACAAAGTGGGAAGCAGACGTTGAATAGTGCCCAGATCACCCGTACGACAAGCCAAATAGAACTCGCTTAAACTCATAGTCTGCTTTTATCTGATTTAATTCTAATAAAATAATACCACGATATATTTAACATTCTTCTCAACTGCAAGCTTTTTCTCTTCATTCGTTTTCATCATAACATTAAAGGTAAATGTTGACAAAAGAAAATAAAAAACATATTTAGATCGAATTTTATCTTCTTTTGTCAACATTTACCTTTAATGTGATGATGAAAGTAAAGGGAGTAAAGAAGATTAAAGTTTAGAGAATCGTCACGTTCGTCATAATATTATTTTATTGAGGGTTGGCCATTGAATTGATCAGTGACATAAATGCTTACTTCCAGCGGAAAAATGTCCCTCCACTCAAAAATGGTCAGCCGTAGCATACTTCAACACGTATATAGATACAATTTCAGCGAAAAAACGCCACTTCATAGGAATAATGCAGATGTCCATAGAAACAATGAAATAGAAAAATGACAAAATGATATCTTCTATGAGAAATGTGACAGATATCCGCATACCTCTATAGGTTCTACTGCAGCCGAAAAATGAAAATGCATAGAAATAATGAAGATTTCTACAGAAAAAGTAGAATGGAAAAATGAAAAAATGATTTCTTCTATGAGAAAAATGTTAGATATGTCACTACCTATATGCATTCTAGTGCAGCGGAAGAATGAAAATGCATAGGAATAATGAAGGTTTCTACACAAAAAAACAGAATGGAAGAAAGAAAACATGATTTTTTCTATGAGAAAAACGTTAGATATGTAGAAGAGAAACGCTGAAAATGCCGTTTAAACTGTCATAATCACCCATTCTGTTAGGAAACGGTGATAAACGGCAAGAAAAAACGTGATCATCACTTTTCTTGCCGTTTTTACGTCTAGTCAGCGTTTTCAAGCGTTATTCACATTAAATAGTCTCTGAAACGGTTATATAAGTCATTTTCTTCTTCGTAAAAGATACTGAGAAATGTTTATGATCATCTTTTCCAACGAAAACAGCTGTAAATGCTCAAAGTAGATTAATCTTTTTTTTTGGGACTGGTTCCCATAATTATTTATATTATCATGAATTTGTATTTTTTATTGTTTCATAGTACGCGTGAAAGACATTTAGTCCGTTTGGAGCTTCCATTTATCTTTTGATCTGCTGAATTACTTCAAAAAAGTATTCGCTGTAGATTTAATTGTGCGAAAAATAGTTCCTTTGATTAAAGTAAGAATCCGCATAACATTGACATCATATGAATCAAAATCATGTGTTGGTGCGAACATTAGAATGTCGAGAAAATACAGGTTGATTTTATTGATTTAAAGTCTCAATTTTCACATTGAAAACCTAATTTTTTGATTATGTTCAAAGCTCGAAACGTACGATAAATTATAAGTTCCTAACATTCTCAAACATAAAATTGCTGCATTAGAGTTTTCATCACAAATTATCAACTCATCAGTATATGAGCTAATTGAAACTCGTTTTATGACAAGCAATACAACATTATTAATTATGAGCTACATAATCCAATTAGAAACTCTAGCCAAGTCAAAAGAGAGTAATATTTTCAGTTAATATACAGGTGCTCAAAAAAGTATCCGACCACCCCAATTTAGTCTCATGCAAAGACTTTGTTCAAAAAATACCTTTAGAACGATGGACTCTTATGAAACTTATGTACGATAGAGAACTTTGTTTGCTGTATCCAATGATGGTATTTGAGTAAAAAAAACAACATGTTTCGATATTGAAAATCACTTTTTGTGAAAACCATGAAATTTTCGAAAAAAGTAAATCTCTGACAAATTCGGTGATCGCCTTGAATTGAAAAGCCACATATGCAGTTTTGTAGAGCAGCTCACGGCGCATCGAATGGTATATAGCAAATCACATTTTCATCAAGTCTTGATGCGATAAGAGTCCAAATATTGGTTGGGAGACATACAGTGAGTAAATGTTTAGAAGCACCTTAGACCAAAGCGTAGATGTTTATCACTTCTTTTGTTGGATGAGAACATGCACTCAAAGAATTTTCTTTTTGCTGATGAATAATAAGAGGGTGTGGGTGTGGGTGTGGGTGTGGGTGTGGGTGTGGGTGTGGGTGTGGGTGTGGGTGTGGAGTGTGGAATGTGGGTGTGTGGGTGTTGGGTGTGAGGTGTGGGGTGGGGGTGGGGGTGTATGTGTGGGTGCGGGTGCGGGCGAAGAATTGGTAATGCCCTCACACACCATCCCCATCCCCACCCACATCTCACATCCACCCACATCCGCACCCTCTTTTTAAGTGGTTGATTTATTTTGAGTTAACTGTAAAATATAATATTCTCTGCATATACTGTTCCTGTTCATTGTAGTCATGATATAGATATAAATGGAGAAATAGCATTTAAGAAAGAAATACTCAGATAGTGTACCAGGACGAAAACTTGGGCAGGAAGCAATAAAAATCTGACAAAAAACGTACAGATTCTATGAAAGATATCCTAAAGAGAAGAGTGTATACGTGAAGAGAAAACACAGAAATATAAGTATACACATATGATAGAAGAAGGAAAAAGAAAAGTGCATGTGACTTATTTGAACAAGTTGAAATATTTTATCAAAAATTGTGATACATAAAATAGAATGCATCATGATCATTTGCATTTGATGTTATGACTAATAAAGTATTCTTTTCAATCTAAAATGATTTATAAACTACTTGAAAATGTCTTGAAACAAAATGAATGCATATGTAGGAGCATGGGATTATTACATAGTTCAAATGCTCACCCATATGGCGTATAGATTTATGCTACTTTGTGAAGTTATATTAGTCGGCGTCGTCATTTTTGCCAAAATTATTTGATACTTGTAGTTCCCATCATAACGAATACCGATCTATAGTGAATTTAGTATGTAAAATGGAGTCATTTAGAATACTCAAATACTATATGAAAATTTTATATGGATATATATTATAATATTCTGATAAGTTTTCAGGAGTACTTTTGAAAATACACTGCTTGCATTGACCATTAGTTCATATCATCTAAGATTGCCTATATGTTAATAACTTGTCTTTACAACGACTTCATGTATGGTTCCTAAATGCATTTTGCTATTGAAAAATCTATGGTTGAAATAGCATTTAACAATAATAGTAAACCGAGCTTATCTTTGATTAAATCTACTTAAATTCTACCAAGCTTAAGAACTCAACAATATTTTGAGAAACGTTTAGACTAAAAAACGTGAAGTGCTGCATTACTAGAATAGACATTTTTAACAGAAAGAGATAAATATCTACTCAGTCTACCTGAATTCGGTGTTCAAATCCTTTTTGAAAATAGTTTCAATCGAGTCATGATTATGGAATAATTCATCTTCCTGAAATTAGTTTTCACGAACTTCACATTGCAAACCAAAATGTTGCCAGAAATTTCCTGATGTAAATATTTATCATAACTTATTATTACTATTTTTTATAAATGTTTTTGATAATTATTCGCTTAGAATTTGCATTATAATATCAAATAAAAAGCATTCTGCATATTCCACTTGGATTCTCCTCTAAAAATACAGCAAAAAGCAAAAAGTAAAAAAAACATCGTATTCATCTTTAAGTCAGTTTAAAAACTTTAACCCTTTTTGGTAACAATAAATTTACATTAAAAAACAATTATAACATCGGTGACTCCATAAATTGAAAGTGATGATTAATATAAAGAAATTGGTAGAATACGGAATGTATTCTGATTGGTGCAAATAAGAAAGGATAAGCTACAGACAAAATTATGTGTAGCGTGTGAGTGTAGCTTATCTTCAATTAATAGAGAGCAAGAAAGAAAATTTATTTGCTGAAAAGTGTAACCAACGAAAGAAGAGGAACGAAAAAAAAATGAAACAAACGATAAAATTATAGATGGCTGCCATAGATGACAGTGTCATTCAATGAAAGAAAAAAATGATAATCAATATCTGAAATATATCACTGTCATCTATAGCAGCCATCTATAATTTTATCGTTTATTTCAGTTTTTTTCGTCCCTCTCTTTTCGTTGGTTACACTTTTCAACAAATAAATTTTTTTTCCTGTTGTCTATTATGTCTAAAGTGAACTAGTACTTCCTTTTTTGTTTCTTCAGAATAAAAAGAAAAGTAATTTATATTCTTTAATTTATCAAAATCATTGAACTAATTTATTCTAGTGATGAAAATTAGTTTACTCTTCATTGTAGAATAGTATGATATTAATATGCAAATAATCTTTTCAACCATATCACAATGTTTGATATTATTAAATCTTCATTAAGACGATCAATGATTAATATTTTGAAATTACAAATTGAATATATTCATTATTTATTATGATGGACTCCGTATTTTTAAAAAAATTAAAATTATATCAGTGATCATACATATCAGAACTATTTCAATATAAAGAAATTGCAATATTTTGATTTTATTTTTATAATAAAAAAAAAATCTCGAATAGAGTTTTCAATTTATTAGATTTCTACTAGTTGCAATTGTGTCACTCTTCTTACTTATATGTATACATGCGAAAATCAAACTTTTATTCATTTATCACATAAAACAAGTATTTAAAAATTGTAAATTTTAACAATGGATCCATTCATATCTCATGAATTAGCCCCAGATAATTAGTTGTGATATAAGATTTTTACATTGAATAACCAATAAATTTCGTATGTAATTCGATCCCAATAGACATAATATTGTGATAAATACAGCGTCTCCTGAAATTTCTTCAGGAAAGCCAACGTAAATATCACTTATACTATTCAAGCGATTTAATATGTAAGTATGCTCTTGAAAGTTTTATTCTATGTATTTTAAGATAAATGTCTGTATCTATAAATATTAGAATTAAAGTAGTTTTACAAATGATCAAATTTTAGTCACTTATGGACGTGAAACGAAAGCCGAAAAAGTCGACGAAATTCATCATATCTTTTTGAAAAAAAAAAGAAATACAATTAAATGTTCGAGCTCTGGCAAAGGTCTGTATCACTCTATGAACAAACTGCACC